CGAGCGTGTACTGGTGGTAGTTGAAGGCAGAGGAGAGGGTGAAGCTGCCAGAAAGAGTGTGACGGGGGCTTTCAAGCCTGAAAAGACAAAGGACAATGAGCAGCTCCTACAGGAGACAGAGCGGACATCTAAGAGGTGGGGCTGAGCCTGGGTGGAGGGGCAGCTTGGACACTGAGGGCAGAGATAAGCAAGCAAGAGGAAGCTGTCAAACAGCCAGAAGCTACAAGCAGGGGGAAACCGGACTCTAGCATGTGGCAGCAAGCAAAACATTAAGGGAGATGGCAGCGGCTCGTCGGAGGTGGGAGAGGAAGGTGATCTGGTGACGGGACAAGGAGTTGGCGCCTGGGCACGAGAGCTCTTCCTCCGTCTCACCCTCTCTCAGGACTCAGCTGTGCCTGGAGTGGAGGGGCCCGGGCAGGGGACAGAGGTGGGCAGGACATACAGACAAGAATGGCCAGGGTGGGGCCATCGTTGACAAGGTGACATCGTGGGTGTGGTCCCTGAAAGTGCTTCCGGTAGGGATGGTCCCCAAAGGAAGCAGGTGCGGTGTTTGAGCAATCACAGGGAAGCATTTATGTTGACGTAGTTCGTTATACCCATTGGCCATGTCTTCCCACTCCTAGGCGGGGTTTGCAAACAGGGATGCTAGCTGGGTTCCCTCAATGCCAGAGAGTCTCATTATCACCAGCTCCCAGGCTGCAGCTATGTGGGGCGCTGCCGTACCTTCTGACTGGACTCCCTGAGCTCTAAGTTCATGAGAATGAGAGTCCTGGCACAGAGAGGGCAATTAGATTTCATTCCTCTTTCCGGCCAGCCGCAACTGACTGTTCGGGGCTGGCGGCCCAGCAGGGCTGTGCTGAGTGGGAGTCAGAGGCCGCTTCCAGAACCAGCAGGAATGAGGGCGGAGACTGATTAGCCCTTTCTGCCAAAGGCATGAACTTGCAACTAATGGATGCCATCAGACTGCTGTCCAAAGCATAGTGCCCGTAGTGACATACCCTGAGGTCCCCTTGCGAGTGGACAAAGCCAGTGCTTCTCAGAAATGTTTAACTCACAGGACTCCTTTCTTCAGATGAAACTTCATGTGTAAACAGATCGAAGCAGGGCTGTCCTGGTCCAAGAGAGGAGGGCTGGAAGTCTCTTCTTCCTCTGCCTCTCCCAGTGGCAGCTCTTGACACACCTCCGTGGAACACGGTTTGAAAACCTCTAGGAGTCACTAGTTCAGAAGAGGGCCAGGGAGGGGTCCTCTGAGAGGGTGACATTTGAACTGAGATCTGAGAAGAGCCAGAAGAAGGTTGTTCCAGGCAAAGGGACAGCACGTGCCAAGGCCCTGGGGTGGGTACAAGGTTAGCTAGTTTGAGACACAGAATGCTCTTTTGTGACTAGATTGTAGGGATTGTGGGGGGTCAAGGTAAGAAATGGGGTCGGAGAGGTAGGCAGGGTCCACTCAGGTAAAGCCCTAAGAGCAGGGTAAGGAGTTTCCATCTGAGTGTGATGGGAGCTACGGGAAGGTTTTAAGCAGGAAAGAGAAGTATAATCTAATTACATTTTTAAAACTATCACTGGCTACTACTATAGGGAGGGCAAGAATAGAATAGAGGGCAGGGCACCAGTTATTTGTTACAGAGTTCATGTGATGATGGGAACATGACTCGGATGGCAGCAGTGAGCATTGCAAAAGTTAGAGGTGCAGTGGGGGTGGTACACGGGCATGCCTTCTCGTCTCGGGCCTGGGGACCAGGACAGTGGAGCACTGAGATTGAAGAAGAGGTGCTCTCCAGACCAAGTAAGGGCCCCTGCCCCCCCCCCCAGCTTCTTGCCTGCAGAATTGCATGTTTAGCCTTCAGACCCAGCATGACTGGCACTATCAGAGTTGACTTCTACCATTTACTACTGGGTATTATTCCTTCTTTTCCTAAAAACTATTAGATATGGGAGGGACCTTCTGGTCACCTGCTCCAGCTCCCTGATAATACAGATGAGGGGACCAAAGGTTCCGAGCTGATCCTAGGCTCAGGTCTCTCAATCCCCACTGGTGCTATTTTCCCTTCATCCTCAATTTCTCACTCATGTGTGTCTCATATCCCCAACTAGATCATAAGCTTTTTTTTTTCCATCTTTTTATTTGAGATTTAATTAAAGATTTCTTTAGCGCTTGCATTCTCGGACCCTTGCGCTCCGCTTGGCTGTGGCTGCCTCCTTCCTTCTGGGCCTCGTCCACTTCTTCCCCCACCTGGATCTACGTCTCAAGGTTATACAGGGGACCTCAGCCAGAGCAACGGAAATCATCTGAGGGGATTTTGAAAATGAGAGTCCCACCCTGTCCCCCCAAAAGATTCTGATTCAGAAAGTCTGGGGTGAGACCTCTTCTGGGTACCACCTTAAAATTCTGGCTGAACCCCGTCCACAGCAGGAGGGACCTGGGGTGCTTTGTAACTCCCCCGAGTTTGGGACCACTGTTCTCCCCAGTAATGACGATGCCATATGTGTTTGTATACTGTAGCTGTTACTACACATGCATGCATGCACACAAGCACACACACACGCACACACACAAATACACACATACACACCTGTGCACAAAGGCACACACCATCACATATGCATGCATGTTTGCATGCACACACACATGTCTATACACACCTGTGCACAAAGGCACACACGTGCTCACACATACATGCACACATGCACTTTATTAATGCAGCATCTATGCCCAGGCCACCCCTGATGCCTGGCTTTCAGTTGCCTCTCCAGGGTGTCATTCACTCCCACCCGCTCCCTCCTTGCAGCCCCCTCGCTGACGACCGCAGCCCCCTAAGTGGTCCCTGACTGTCTTCTGCACTGCCCCCTATGTTCCTGACTTAGTGTTCTGTGGGAATACAGATCAAAGCCACCAAGATGCCGCAACCCCTGCAGGCACTCGGAATAAAGCTCAAACCTCACAGCTCAGAGAACAGTGTGCACCCCAATATCTGGGGCTTGCTTTGGCCCCTCCCTCCAACAGCCACACCTAAAAATGCACTCTTTACCACATGACTATTTTTAGAACTAAACCTTTGTTCCCAGGTGGGATCATTTTCTGAACCTAAAATGAAGTCACCGGGTCAAAGATATGAATATTGTTAACGATCGCTTCCCCTAGAGTCTATGGAACGGTCCATTTTACTGCTCCGTTACTAGTTTTGGAGATGGTCATTCAAAAACAAAGCAAAACAAAACAAACCAAAACACAAAATAAAACTTTGCGAATTTGATAGGTGATGCTCTGTTACACTTTCAATTTTAAATTCTTTGGTTACTTGTAAAATCGAGCATTTCTCACCTTTATTGACCGTTTGTATTTCTCCATCTGCGATCTGAACTTTGGATTATGGAGTTTAATCTTGGTCCAACACAACCTTTTTTCTAACCCAGTAATTCTAAAGTGTGGTCACTGGACCAGCAGCATCATCACCCAAGAACTTGTTAAAAATACAGATTCTCAGGCCCCGCCTGGACCTACTGAACCCCTAGACTGAGTGACACAGAATTCATTTTCCACCCAGGTGCACAGCAAGGGGACCCAAACATGGACCCATCTTGTGTGACACCGGTCTTAAAATCTCACAGGGGATAAGACTGCAAACCCTAGAACTAGCCTGCCTGCGTCTGTAGCCTGGCTCTACCAGTTACTAGCTGCGTGATCTTAAGTAGATGGTTTAATTGCTCTGGGCCTCAGTTTGCTCACTCCATAAAATGGGGATAATTATATAACCTGCCTCATAGATTTGTTTTGAGAATAAAAGGTTCCATACATGTTAAGCATTTAGCACAGTTCCTAGCACGCTGGTGTGACTGATGATGCCACTGTGACCATTTAAATTATCACAAGTTCATGGGCCTGAGGCCTGGAAGAAATAAGGTTGGATCTTAAAGAAACTTGGCTATCAGGAAACAAGAGGTCTTAAAATAAATATAAACAGGATGCACCCCGTCTCGTTCCTGCCCTCTAAAAAATATCCTTCTCCTTTTTCCTTCCATCAACTCCACCCAGACTTCTCAAGCTATGCGTACTTCTTCAGGCCACTGCTCTCATATCAGCGGTGACAAGAAACATGAGACACAGCAAATATTGAGAAAAGCTCTTGAACACCTTTTAGGTGCACCAAATATCTCTATTGGTGAAAAATAGGTTTATAATTCTATATACCAATTTATAACATTCTATCTCTTCTAGCAGCCTTCTCATTGGAGGTTACGATGAGCAATATATATTTTTTTAATTAAGTAAGTTGGTGAAATGCCTCATAAGACTAGGTTAGACAAGTTAACTTACACAAATGGTGGATTGTGAATCTTCATGGGTGAGAAGTCACGTACGGATTTTCCCAGAGGTGTTCGATTCTGCCGCCATTTTATAAAGGAGTATCTCATAGAGTCTGTGTGCCATGGAGAACACTTTGGCAAATGATGTCTTACAGGACACAGGAAAGGGTTTCCAGGATTTGGGTGACCTGTTGGTGAATGGATTAAAGGAAAACCCAATATTGTAATAAGGTTATATATACGAGGAAAAACATTAAAGATATGTATTTTCTCTTTAAAGAAGTAGCAACTGGGGTGTTTTCTGTGTCTCCAAAGAAAGTGTATTTTTAAACGCTTTAGATAAATGAACTGAAGACTCTTCTGCCTCACTCCACCCTCCACGATACTCGACCACGACATTTATTTAGTATTTTCCTAAAGGAGAGACTTCCCGCGTTTGTCCAAGACTGGGCAGTTGGTGGAGAGCAAGGAGGGCTTGATCCCTTAATACCACTCTCGTCTCCATGAAGATTTCTAGATACGGGTCTTGTTATCAGGTTACTCTTACCTGGACCTTCTCTTTTTTTCTGACTCAAGAAAATTGAAACTATACTAAACCTCACTTCTCTCTCTCTTTCTCTCTCTCCCTCTCCTTTTCCCTTTTCCTTCTCCCTTCCCCGCCCCCCGACCCCCTGTTTCCTCCCCTTGCTCTTCAGGAACCTTCTGCATCATTTCACTGTGCACCTGTGTGGCCGGGATCAACTTTGAGCTCTCACGCTACCCACGCTACCTGTACGGACTCCCCGATGACATCAGCCATGGCTACGGATGGTCCATGTTCTGTGCGTGGGGGGGCCTGGGCCTCACCCTCATCTCGGGGTTCTTCTGTACGTTGGCCCCTTCTGTCCAACCTGTCCCGAGGACCAACTGCCCTAAATCCAGACCCGAGAATGGGACAGTGTGCTAAAAAAACAAACCCATACACATATATATATATATATAAATATATATATAATATACATATATAAAACAAAACTAAACCAAGGTGATGCCAGTGCCAAGGTAGCGTTGAGTTGGCTCAGGCACCCGCATCTCGCCGGACTTTGTGTTGCCTCATCACCGAGATGGGGGGAGGCGTCCCCATCGTGTGGCTCTTCCATCAATTCTTAACTTTTGGCTCCATGGTTTCTTGACGACAGAGCGAGCATCACCACTCGCGACAGCGTCCTGATTCCCGTCACTCACAAGGACGGGGTGGTGGGCGGGGAAGGGACAGTGCCAGTGGTCTGGAGCCGGCACAGACGGAGAGAAGGCAGTGCCACCCACTGGGCCAGGAGGAGCGGATACCACCCCAACAGCGACCATATCACAAACAAAGCCCTTAGTTCATAGAATGTAACCAAATCTTTGAGGCCATTTGGAGAACCACGTCTTCTCCTGCTCTCCCTGTTCTGATTTCCTTCCTGGCCTACCAGCGACACACGAAAAGTGGAAGAGAAACCAAGAAGGAAGTTTTCTCTTTGCTGCCAAACTGTTGGACAAAGTTTTAGAGGCGGGGAGGAGGAGAGAACAACGTGCTGAGTGGCAAGGTCTGCATCGATCGAAGGACCCTTCAGCGGATGCTCAGAAAACCCAGTCGTACCTTCCAGCTGCCTTACACCCAGTTAAACAAGAGGCTGCCCTGCCCTCACCCCACTGCACCCCCCCGGGCAGATGGGAGCCTTGGAGTAATGCTGTGATGTGCGTACGCGTGTGTGCATGTGGGCGTGAGTGTGTAACTACTTCAGGTGGTTTCCTTTTTTTTTCTTCTTCTTCTTTTCACCGTTTTAAACGCACATACTGCATTGTTAACTGTTGTCTGTCTATGCTTCGTGGTGGTTTCGTGGCCCAGCACGGAGGCCCCGAGATCCAGGAGGAATAATGAGGGGCAAACCCACCTGGGTGCCAGTTCTGCAGCTTCCCATCCCCGGAGCGTGTGCGTGTGGCGGGTGTTTTCAGAGTGTGGGGTTTTCTTGTTCGCGTTGCATTTTCCTGTTATTTTTAGTGCAGCTGAAATTCCCAGAGGGCAGAACCAAGAACACAATCGCTGGGCAAAGGTTCCTGTGCTTCTTCACGTCACAGTCCTGGGACGCCACAGGACTCAGTCCTCTAACTTTGGAAGTTCAAGACACAGCTGGGCACAAAAGCCGTGGGAGAAGTGGGGGAGCACGGTTCAGCAGGGAGAAGGAACGGGGCCTCTGTTGCCGTTATACGTCTACCGAACGAGACCTTTCCCTCCCCATCATGGAAGCTGCCCTTTGTCACTGGACATCTCCCCCTTCCCTAGGGGCGACTTCTGTACAGATGAAAGAAAATGGGTCCCATGCAGAGAGAGTACCTCCATGTCCCATGGGCTAAGTTTGTATGATATTGTGTAAATTCACGTAGAACTCTTTGACTCTTCCCACCTTCTCCCTTTCCCTCTTGATATTCCAGGCCATGAATCCCCAAGCAGCCATCCTAGTGGCTAGCGCCCAAAGCAGAGGTGGCAGAAAGCCAGCCCAGTGTCTCAGGCTCATTGGAGCAGGTTGGCCCTGCAGGTGATGCTTGCTCCGAAGTCAGCCAGAGGGTCGTGAAAGCTGTAGGGAAGGAAGCCAGCCTGAAAGAGTGGGCAGGAGCACCTGAGTGACCCTGCTGGGCTGAGCAGCCCTGGGGAGGCAAGGAGAGAGTCCCCAAGTTGTGCAGCCATTGGGTCGTACAGCCGTGGGTCAGCCATGTAGCCGAGAAGTCAGTCGCTTCCCAAGTCAATGTGATTGGGGCCTTTGCTAGCCACCCAGCAGTCTTCCTTCCCTCCCGTGCACTCTGTTCCATCCACCTTCCTACCAGGCTCCGCCTTTTCTCACCTACAGACCACACAGCTTCTCCCTCCTCCATCCACCAGGCTACGAGTCCTGCCTGTCTCGTCACCTGCTCTTTCTGGTTGTGTGTGTGTGATTCACATCTGATGGGACATCTGGTGGGCACGAGTGGGCCTGAATGTGGGTCTGTGTGTGTGTGTGTGTGTGTGTGTGTGTGTAACTCTCTGGTCCATTTTGTTATGTTTGTGTCCACATGTACCTGGCCGCGGGTGTGGGTGTACTCTCCAAGACCCCCTTGCCAGCGACACTGATTGGCTTTTGCAGAAGTTCTTGTGCGTTAATGCCCTGTGATGGGTGTGGTGGAAGACGAAGGCTGAGATGGGTAGCAGGAAACGCTGTTAGCTTCCAATGGGGCTGCTAAGGACTGTTTCTAAAACAAGGGGTTTATTCTATAAAAAGGGAAATCATTTTCGGAAAAACCCAGGTTTTCAATTATACAGGGAATTGTTTAAAATTTTTCTTTGAAAAGTTAGATTTCTCTCTTAAGGGGAAGGATGTACTTGGGCTTGAGGAGAAGTGAGGAGACGTATCTCAGATTGAGAGGCCTCGTGTCTTCCTTTCGAGTGTCTTGAATGGGTTCCACTGAGCAGAAAGACACAGGTGTCCGTGAGCGTCCATTGGGGGCAGAGGGCTTATCTGTGACCAGACCCAAATTCCAGCTGTTCTCCAGTTGCAGGAAAATGGGGGAAAGAATTCTAAATGGAGCAACTTGCTGTCAATCATTTAAACTTTTTTTTAGTAACCGTGGTTGAGGATATTGCCTCACAGACCTATCATTATTTACACTCTTTTTTTATGCCACGCTTGCCATAAATTTCCACTCTCTCCAACTACTAATCTTTAGGATAGGCCATTAACACAGATTACTGCATCCCCCTGGAACCTTCCTGAAATGTTACGAGGACTCCTGGGAAAGAAGTAAACCATCTGGGCTCAAGTCACCTTCAGGGCAAGAGCTTTGAGGTGCCCTTATTTATTTATTTATTTATTTATTCATTTATTCATTTATTTATTTATTTATTTATTGATAGTGGGGCCAGATAGGTACAGATACACTCACTCTGGGGTCTGATCCTGTGTGGGACCCAATAAATGCCCAGCCACTTGTCCTGGCTGGAAGCCCTGTACAGATGGCAACTCCTGGACAATGGGAGAACTTTTCAGGTGAACTTGACCCCTCCAGCATAAGAGGTGGACCCCAGATTAAGACCCTGCCATTCCAAGCAGTTACTGAAGCTTCATGCTGTGAGGAGGCCAAGGAGGAAGAGAAAGATGAGAGGAAGGAGAAGGCAGGGAACCTGGACCATAGACTCTTTCAGTCAGACTCTGCCAACTCCAGATCCAAGTAGAACCTGACCTGTGGGATTTAGGGTCACAACCTCCTAAAGCCCCCAACCCCACCCCAGGTTAAGTTCAGATCCCTTACAGGTGTGTATGCGAGGTTTAAGACCATGTGTGGCTTGAGCTCCATCCATGTCAACCTTGAGCATGGGGGCCGTTGCAGCTTTTATTTCCTTCCTTACCCTGTGATATTGGGGATTCAGAAAAGTGGAGTGTCTGCCTGGAAAGAGGTCCTATTTCTTTCTCTCCCCGTTTTGGGAATTATAGCTTCTTCTTTTATTTCCTTTCCCTCTCTCTACTCACTTCCACGCTCCTTCTGCTTTGGCCAAGTAAAATACTTAAGGAATTCATCTCTTGAGGGGTCCATGCACTCCGAGCGGCCCCTCCCTTGTTTCCTATGGCTGTCGGTTTTATGAGGAGGCCTGTGGCTCCCTGGCCTCAAAATATAAAAAATGTTTAAATATGCCTGTTCTAGCTTCCCCCCTCCTATAAGCCCCAGCCTTTCAACAAGTCTGCCCTTTCAACTTCAGGGATCATGAAGTCACAAAGACTTGACAACTCCGTCAAATCAAGACAAAGCCTTCCCGGACCGTATGTCCACATGCAGCACCCTGGGCCCTGGTGCCATTTGGATATGTTGTCTTGTTGGTGATCAGGGAGGAAGATATCCCAAGACTCTGAGACAGGGCCCTCCATCTTAACATTTATCCATAGTCATAACAGGCCTAAGATGAAAGTGCTGTGTTTAGTTGTCCTTAGTTAGTGGGGAGATGTCTTGCTTTGATCTCCATTCATGAAACAGGTACTTCACCCGGGACCTCTAGAATTGACTCCTTCACCTGGCTTATTCTGAGAGTGTGAATGAACGGATTTTCAAGTACCTGGGGAGAAGGAGTGGGAAGAAAGATTCTTGGGCCATCTTGGTGTAGTTTGTATGGGACGTTTAGTTGGTTCTTGTAGCTAAAGTGCAGCCGATTTTCTGAAAATGGCCCCAGTGCTCCAGAGACCAGCCATCCCAGTAGCTACATCCAGCCCTTTCCAGGGAAATAGGGAGAGTCAGAATGAGAGGTGATTGCACCACAGATAAAAATACTTGCTGTGTACCTGCCAGGTTGGCCTCTGTGCTGTCTTCCAGCTGGTATATGATAGACGAAGGGGACAGATTTTTTAGACAAGCCCACCTGAGGTGATGGAACACAAACGATTCTGTCCCTCTAAGCAAGTAAGCTTATGGCTGGTGTTGCCCTCTTTCCATTGTGCTGCCATGATGCAGAATATTTCTTACGCGTTAATGTTATTTCTTAGACTATGTTATTATTGGCTATTATTCCACCCCCCAAATAATACACACTCATTATGGAAAATTAGAAAAATAAAATACGAAAGCAGACTAAAAGATTGCTCATAATGCCATTGCTCAGAGGCATTGTAATGTTTGTTGCCCCAACACTTCCCAGTCAGCAGTTGTCTCTATGAGTCAGGACTGGGAGGGCAGTCCGTGGTCGTAGGGCCATACTGGTCATTGTGGAGTTGACTCTGTGTCATGGCAGCAGGAGCACGGGGCTCTGAGCCCCCACAGATAGCAAAGATGCCTGTGAAGAAGTTCAATGTCAGACCTTAGTGGCGGAGGCTAAAAGATTCCTACTTTGGGATTTTTTATTTTCTTCTTGTTCTTTTCTTTCTTTTTTTTTTTTTTCTTTTTGAGTGCTATCTCAATCTAATTATAGGTGTAAGAACACTGAAGCCAGAGTAACTCAGTAATGAAGCTACACTTGTACGAGTTACTGTAAATTTCATTTCAGCTCTGCGCTAAAATGATTTGTGACTCTGGGCACTGCGTCTTCTCCATACTTGAACTTCCTCATCCACAGAATGAGGATAGTGATAACACTTTACCTCAGAGTGTATTAAGGGTGACAAAGACACTGCAAAGTGATTTGCAAACAGGAAGTGTCACATAAATTATGCACTGTTCTCCTGCAGAAGCAGAGTCCCCACTGAACGGAATTCCTTCATAGTTGCTGTGCCTCGCTGCTGAAAGGGTAACCTAGTGTGAGACATTATCTTGACTATTGAACAGGACCCTACCTGTCAACTGAAGCACGTGGCATTTTACTCCGTCATTCAGGCCCCTCAGAGAACGTGGCTCCTTAATTTACCCATTCCCAGGCTTCCTGCATTTTGTCCAAAGCCTATTGTGCAAAGGGCACTCTTAATCCCTCTTGATTATTCCCAGAGGTGGCGGAATGAGTAAACCCTACAGGGCAAATAGCACGTATGAGCTGAAACAGTTCACTGTTAACCAAGGCACACGGTCAGTGCCTTACTGTTTTTCTTTGACCATCCTCCTAACATGGTTTCTAGATGTTCATGCCCGAGTAGTGGTAGCAAATCAGACTCTAATGGTCTGTTAAGTTTAAGATGGAAACAAGTTTCAAGGAACTGAGCTCTCTGTTGTCCGTTAGTGGAGCAGATGGTATCATCAGACTCATGGGTTCTCATAGGAAGTCCTTAGGATGGTGCGTTTGCTAGGAGAGGTTCTGGGTGTGATTCTGTCTGGGAAAAACTGAACTCTAGGTTCTAAACAAGGATGCACTTCCAGAAGTGTCTGCACCCATGCTGCTTTGCAGGGGATCAGGTTTCGGTATTAGGGTGAGACCTTCTCTAAGGGAAGGCCACATCATTGCTTCCTGTGTGGATAGAGCCCCACCAGGAATGGGGGAATCACCCAGGCAGAGGGGATGTTTGTTCACTACTGAGAAACAGGAAACAGGTGGAATCATTAGGCTTGGTAGCTAACCCTGGCTTCACTCTGACAGATCTCAGCCCTGGCAACTGCAACTCCTTTGCTAGTCTCTGAGGACTGGGTGTGGTTCCTTGGGGATTCTGTGCCCGCCTCCTGTCTCCCGTTTCTCCCTCTGGCTAAGCCTTTCCCATCCTTTCCGGGTCACCTGTAGATCCTTTCTAGCCTGAATGTGTCAGGGTGCCTGCGATGTTGTGAATGTGACGATGCCGTTCTCATAGAGAGCCTCCGCTAACCTATTCCCATCCTCCTTTCCCATTTCCACCCACAGTGTGACTGTTTCACTGTTCAAGACTATCTGTAAAAATGTACAAATAAAAGTGGAAACTGAAAATCAGGGGGAGGGAATTGAAACTGAACCAATGCATTGACGTAGCTCTCAGTTTTCTGAGGACTTATGTGGACCGCCCTAAAACCCTGACTGGGTGGGGTTGGAAGGGGAGGAAGCCATTGGCACAGGAGGTTTTTTTCTGGTTGTTTCTCCGACAGTCACTTAGTGTCTGCTTGTAACTCTCTGTTCTCAAGGTTTTTGCCTTTAAAGTGAATCTAGTTTCCAAAAGTAAAAGCAAGTCATCAGCGTCTGATGGGAAGGAGATCGCGAAGGTCAACACAAGACCTGATCCTGGGGTCGCATTAGCAGCTTTGTCACTGGCTCCCTCGGGGCCACGGGCACGTCTTGTTACCTCACCATGTCTCTGTGTCCTCTCAGCCAAACAGGGAGGGGGGGTGCCTTCTGGGACTCCTGGAGCACCGTATCCCCTTGGCCATTCTGCTGCTATTTTTGGAGAGGCTTCGAGCCCATGCTGGTGTGTGCTTATTGCATGGAGGGACGTTTCTTGCTCCTCTCGCCCCACTCTTTCAGTCCTGAGAAAGTAACCTCAAGCTAACCGCCAGTGTGCGCTCCGAGTCCAAAGCCTTTGACCTACCTTTTCATTCTCAGATGCCTTTCCCACCCACTTAGGTGATGTTTTACTATTGTTGCTGACAGAGCTTTGCTGTGCTGGGGTAGGAGAAAGCCTCTCAAAGGAGATGATGTGTGTGAATTGCTTTGTAACCTATGACTCAGTAGACAGACCAGGCTTGTGATGTCAGACGCAGGGAGTCTGGCTAAGGGATGCTACCAAATCAAAATGAAGAGAGCACTGACAGGGGGTGGGCAGCAGATGTGGGTTGGCAGTGGAGTAAGATAAAGAAACCTTTTGATGAGGAAACGGCAGAATCACAGAGCATCGTTGGCATGGCAGCAGACAAGACACCCCAAGAAGCAGGGCACCCTGAAGTAAAAGGAAGTCAGAAAGAGGAACAGGGTGGGCAGTCTTATAACACAAGAGCTGCGTCCTCCACGACTGAGAGGACTAGCTGCCCTGGGAGGGGGCTGACCCAGGCTTGAGCAGTGACCTAACCCCTCCCACTCAATGGCGCCGTCCATCCACACCTCCCTCCTCTCCGATAGTCCACAGCCATCATCTCTGCGAGCAGCTTCAGGAAGGCAGTTTAAGCCAGTGCTGTCCAACAGATACAATGCAAGCCATATAAGTAAGTTTAAAGATCATTCAAGTAGTGATGAAAATAGTAGCCCCAGTGTTCAAAGTCCAAAGAAACGGGTAAAATTAATTTTAAGCCCATATCAAAAATGTTATTATTGTATCATGGAATCAATATAAAAATGTACTGAAGTGTTTTATGTCCCTTTTTGGTTTTTTTTTCTAATGAAGCCTTTGAAATTCAATATAAATCTTATTCTTAGAAGACATCTCAGTTTGGATCAGCCACATTTTCAGGGCTTTGATAACCACATGGGGCTTCTGGCTACCATATAGGACAGCAAAGAGTTAGACTCTGTTACGAGGCTGAAGGGGAGTCACTCAGGGCTCACAGCTGACAGGCTGGAGGCTGGTTGGCCCAGAGGAGAAGTCACAGGAGCCATGTCCATCCTGGCCTCTGGAAGTTTTGTTCTACCTGCTTAGATGGAGGAGAGGACCATTGCTTTTCAAATACATGTCACACCTGCCCCAGAGGGGCGTCAGCACTGTCCCCGGGCATGGCCCCAGTGACCTGTTGAGATCCTAGAGGCCAAAGCAGGTCACTTTCTTCAGCTTATCCCTTATCCAGACACCCATTATCTTACCATGGGGAGGGGAGCCATGGTAAGATAGGCGTTCTCTTTGTCAAGAATAAAGATCTCCACAATCTTTGTCACCTGGTTTAGTCCCCTGCTAATAACATCACACCAATATTGGGAGCTGTTTTCTCAATCCCTTCATTTCCTTGAATTTGTATCTTGAAGTCAAATGCTAAAAGAGGATGTACTGGGGAAAGAAAGCAGTGGCCACGGGCAGACTGGGTCTCCTAGGAGGTGGCAGTGACAAGCTGTGTCCTTTTGCACTGGGACTCGGCCCACCGTTGCCACCTCTCTTTCCTTCCCGGAGACTTTCCTTAGGTTTGAAGAAACCTCTTTGGTTCAGGGGAAAAAGACAAGTCGCGAGATCTTAGTGCAGAGAATAGAATAACATGTAAGCAAGCAACCCCTCATTCTCAAAGCCTATCAAAGAGCCAGTAGGACAAGGTTTGACTCATGTAAAATACAATATTCTGAGTCTTGTGTCACTGAGAGAAAGAAAATGAGCTGAGTTGGTGAGTATGTTTTATATATGGTCATAAGACAGGGACCATAGCCGACAAAACCCTCCAACACCTGGAGTGTTTCTGGTCCAGCAGATTATTGCTCAGTCAGTATAAATTTATTTACCTTTACTTTAATTTGCATAGTGCTTTCTGATTGGTCAGACAGGAGTGGTGTGTGCTGCAGGATTCCAGCAAGCCTCTGCCCTCGGAGGTAGCAGTTCCTGTGGTTATTGGTGCTAAAATAAGATTCAATATTATGTTAATTTGTTCTGATACAATGTGAATAAATGTGTTGTTTTAACAAGAATGCTACATCTTATCAGATCTACTGTACTGTCTGTTCCTTCTCATAATTAATTAATTACAGGAAAGGTGATCCGAACCAGAGCTTGAAACTATCGTGCTATTCTGAGAGGTGAATTTCGCAGGGGAGTGGGAGGGGGGATGAGAAGGGAAATTGCCAGATTCCGGTGACTTTGCAAGGACTAAGAAAGCCGAACGCATCTGGGGACTTCACTGACACTGACTGCATCGTGCAATTTTCTTTTTCAAATTGGCAGAAATATTGTATTTCCATCGATTGAAGAAAAAAAAAGTGTCTGGTAATTAATTAAATGACTTGTTCATGGAAAAAAATAAAAATAAATAACCTGTCAGTTGTGGAATGTAAACTGATTAAACAATTAAATAAAGAAGATCATGTTGTGTGTTTTAAGCGATTGTGTCTGCTTGGGGACGGGGGATAGACGCTGCAGTATTTGATGGAGAACAATATTTTTTCCCTCGGTTTTTGAGCAGGAAAAAAAAATAGAACAAGTCCTAGGTAGATAGCAGAAAACTCTAATCCTGAAGGAAATAGACAGTCAGCACTTCAAGCACGTCTAAGCCAGAGAGGTACATGCTTTTAGAGTTGCGTTGAGGGAGGGAAATGGAAAGGGATTCGAAGAGAAAAAGAAGGAAACAATTGTTCTTTTTCTCCTATTGCTGGCATTAATAATGTTTTTAAAAGGCTTTATGAGATGCTGGAATTACTGGTTACATTCCAATCCCTCAACCTGTTCCCTCGCTATCAGGGACAAGTTTGTCTCATGTCTTCATCATCTCTGTCCCTAACTTAGAATCACTGTTCCTTTCTATCCCCACGTGGCTTTTAGAAGTTTCCGGCTCACGGCTGGGTAGGATGCTAGGGGAAAAGGCAAGATGATAGCAGGCAGGGGCTTTTTAAAGGGAAATATGTGTCCGTCAGCATCTCTCGTTTTAAGGAAAAGAAACTGGCTCTGTCTGGTTTAAGCAGGAAAGTAATTTACTGAAAGGAAATGGGTAGCTGGAAGTGCCTGGGGCAGGCAAGAAGGACTGAGCAGCTGGGTTGTCAGAATCGCAGCCCAGGCCAGTCTGGACCCCTCCGGTGGTACTGTTGGACTGGACACCACAGCTGGCTGGCTGCTGCAGCCCTGGAGACCATAGGTGAGTATGCTGCTCCCTTCACCAGGATGAACCCCAGCTCCCCACTTCTTTCAGTTGGTAGCCCCAGCATCAGAATCCCAGGCCATGCGCTGTCCAACGGTGCCAGGAAAAACTACCTAGAGCCCTTAGGTTCTCTTTGGGTGGTGGGCTCTGCCCCACACGCACCAAGATTCATAGGGCAGACAATTCCCCACACATAGGGAGAGGTATTGACGCTCAGCACCAATGGGAAGATGTCCGTTAGGGAAAGGGGGCGTCCCTGAATGGAAGGATGTTGCCACATTTCTGTGGTACATTTGCATAGCAGTCAGGTAGGTGTGTGTATTATTTTCACTGTAGCGATGAGTGCCAGGCTGGGAGTCCGAGTGGAAAGATATGCACAGCACTGGGCCTGGTACACGAAGGCGTGCATAGGTTTAATCTGAAACAGGAACACTAATGTGAGCAGTAGAATTTATTTTGGGGGGGAAAAAAAAGCATCCTGGAAGCAATGCAAACAAATAGTAAAATGTCTCAAAAGTAAGTGCTGGTCAAAGGTAAGAGCCTTATAGACTGGTGACAGGAAAGGTTTAATGAGTGGAGAAGAACTTGAAGAAGGGGGAGGCCAGGATCCTAAGGGTCCCCTCCCCTCCTCGGTAGTAATGTCCCTTGAATGAGAGAAAGAATGGAAGCCCTACTGATCTTAAGAAGCGAGCAAGCCTTTCAGCCCTCTTACCTCCAGGGAAAAGCAGGTGGGGTCAAAGAGCTTCTGCCTGGCGGGGCAGAAGAGCTGGTTGGGGCGCTGCTCCCACCAGGTCCTGTGCATTTGTGCTGCAGGGGTGGGTGGGGTTATCGGAGGCATTATGCCTGGATGCCCTGGGGGTGGCCTGGGGGTAGCCACGCAGAGACAAACAGGCCGGTTCTCCTTTTCCCAAAAAAGCACAGCTTTGTTTTCTGTCTGTGATGAATTTCTGTGCCGTGCACTGCGTTGGTGAGAAACACTTCCTCTTCCTCACCTCGGCACCTGTGCCTCCAGACACAAAAATACCCACAGTGAGAGCTGTTAATAATTGGAGAAAGGCAGCTCTAGGAACTGTGACCATGTCCCCCAAATACCAGGGTGGTCCCCCGAGGGGCACCCTCCTCCAGGAAGCCTTCCTTTTCTGAATGCCTGTCCTGCCAAGTGTTCTTCCCCAACCCTGGGCACCTCCCTCTCTCTCTCTCCCCCCCCCCCCTGCTTAGCACTTCCAGATGAAATTAGTGTTTTCCTTGGGACTTCCTCAGGAACCAGGTTGTCTTGAAGGACAGGGATTCTGACACTCATCTTCGTACCCAATGACTAGTAGTGCCTGGTGTGTAGTAAGTGCTCAATAAACACTGATCTGAACCAAAGTGACGTCTTCCTCTGTCCTCCCACTCAAGCTGGTCCTCAGTGGGGATGTTCAATTCTTCTTTAAGTGTTATTGGTGTTCCTCGAGACCACCCTCAGATTCAGTGGTTTGCTAGAAGGACTGACAGAACTAGGAAAAGCTATTATACTCAGGGGTATGGTTTACGACACTGCAAGGATGCAGATTAAAATCAGCAAAGGTGAAAGGTGCATAGGGCAGAGTTCGGGAGAGACAGGACACAAGCTTCCAGTTGTCCTCCCCCAGGGGGCTTGTGCAGGCAGCACTTATTCTCCCAGCAGTGCTATGTGACAACAGGAACATCGCCAACCAGGGGAGCTCACTGAGGCCTTAGCGCCCAGAGACCTGGGGGGTCAGCCATGGAGGCATGGAGAGCCCACAGAGCTGACCTCAGTCACTCAGCCCCCAGCCCACCCCCCAGAGGTCAAACTGGTACCCTGTGGACAAGGCCTCCGCCATATATCCCATCGTTCATGTGAATGAGCCTGACCCCAGGTAAGCCAGGTAGAGACACCCTCATCAGGCAGGGATAGCCCAAGAGCTCAGAGCTTCTGTCCCGGGAGCTGGTCAAGGGCCACATCTTTCTCAGGAACGTGCAGGGTTTGGGCAACCTGACCTGCCACGTCAACCCTTTCCTGTACCCTGAGCTACATGACAAGTTAGAGTAAAGCAAACAAACGTACAGTAGCTCCTCTCTCTGTGAAAGCTCTTCCTCAGGTATTCCCAATTCCTCCCGCTGCCTCTTGACCTCCCAGAGACAGGCCTGATCCCAGCATTCTTTGAAGGTCCGTGGCTGAAGTGCCCAGTCCCATGGTCTCCTTTCTATTCCCATTTCTTCTCAAGGGGCTCCTGTGCCCTTCACAAGAAGTTGGGGTGGCGGGGGGAAGAACAGAGAAGCTTGAGTCTTTAAGCAGATCCACCTTTGGATCTTTTTACAAGCAAGTTGTATCATCGTCCCCCAGAACCAGTGTCCTTGTATATGTGTAAATGGGTGTTCCAGCGTCTACCTCCCAGGCTACTTTAGAAAATGAAAGAGTCACCCTACGTGTGAGTGCCTGGCCCAGAACTGTTCCCCAGGGCCCTTCAGCCTCCCTTCCCCCACTGCACAATCTGTCCTCTTCCATTAATAAGCATGTTCTAGGTCTCACCCCTCTAAGAAGCATTTCTGAACTGAAACCGGCCCAATATTAGAGTCCCACAGGTAGGCTGCTTTAAAAGCTAACGGACAGTGGACGCGCTGAACATGTAAATGCAATCCCACATTTATGCGTATGGTGTTTGGCCATTGTTCGGTCCATCCACTCTACTGTGTGTGCATTCAACACTTTGAAACACAGAATTCACAAGAGGAGAAAATCTGGGGTTGAAAATACCCCTTCCTTAGGCACAGCTCTTCCTTTCCTATGAGGGAGAGAAATGCTCTAGAACCTTGCTGCTCAAAGTGTGGTCCTCGGACCAGCAGCACCAGCTAGAAATGTGGAGTCTTTGGTCTAACTTTCTGTCCACTGAATTAGAACCTGCATTTGACCATGACCTCCGGGGGGCTCGTATGCGCTGGTTGGGAACACCTACTCGCCTAGCCATGTGGTTTGAAAGTTTGTTTCAACACTTCTGCCATATTTTTTATCTAGGATAAAGCTCACAGGAGGATTTCAAAGGACAGTGAAAAAGATTAGTTCCAGACTGAGGTTTCAAAGCCACGTCGGAACAGGTATGATTTTTAACTAACATGCCAAGAAAGGTCCTTTCTGCTGGGCCTCACCCTGGTTTATGGGGTAAGCTCTAGTGGAATGAGGTCAAGTAATTAGGTTTGTTTTTCCCAGTGAGCAGGTGTCAGGCAGCCCTCACCCCATAGCAGCCGTCTCCCAGCAGATGTGCGGAAGACCACCTGGTCCCAGCCACCGAGGGAGAGCAGACACGGGTGGCCCGAGGGGAGGAGCTTGCTTTCGCCTCTTCGTGGGAAAGCCTGAACCGTGAGACCAAGTGGATATGAAGAGTGAGAAGCCCATCCCCTGATGCCCCTTCTATTGTGTCTTTGTGGGCTAGATGGCAGAGCTTTAGTTGGTCACAGTACAACTTACTGGTCATAAGCAAGGAACCTGGAGGCAAACGGCTTGAGTTCAAATTGGGTCCCACCTATTAGGGGCGTAGCCCTGGGCAAAATATTCAGCCTCGCGGTGCCTTACTTTCCTCCTCGGTAAAGGAGGACAATAACATCTTGTGGGGCTGCTGTGAGTATAAAGTAGATTAATACTTGCCAGATGCTGAAAACAGTGCTTGGCACAAAGTAGTTACTATCCATGTATTAGTAAATGATTCTAATTTTCAATGGCCTCCATGAAGTCCTACTAATGGATGAGACCTGGCCGGAAGGTGTGACTCTGGGGCTAAATCTTAGAACAGAGCCTTTGTAAAGAGTGGTGGTGGGAAGGATTTTCTGCAGAGCATCATTGTGAGGTTGATGGTGGTTCTGCTTGTCAGGAGGTAACGGGGAGGCCTGTCTCCATGACCATCTGCTGCCATCACTGGGTGTGGGCTGACGTCCCATGTCGGAGTGTTACACCAGTGATTGGACTGCAGCCCTAGTGGCTAGGACTACAGCGACCCTCTAGTTTTTTCTGTGCTCCATCTCTTAGCTGGGGCAGGATATAGAGCCCTGCCTCAGACCTCCCTCCCTTCCACCAATGAGGTGGAGATGACTGTGAGAAAAGCCTTCCATACGCTTTCAGTGCCCTACTCCTCGTTGAGGTTAGGAATAAGGGGGGTTAAGGGGGGTTACCTTGGAGGGAGAGGGTCATCCTTAGCGTTCCCTCCCTTATTTCTCTACACTACTCTTTAAATTTGGGTAATGTGCCATATAAGA